AATCACTTGAATTACATGTTTATTTTGTACATATCAGGAAGATAATTAATCACTTGAATTACATGTTTATTTTGTACATATCAGGAAGATAATTAATCTCTTGAATTACATGTTTATTTTGTACATATCAGGAAGATCATTAATCACTTGAATTACATGTTTATTTTGTACATATCAGGAAGATAATTATATTTCTTGTATTACATGTTTATTCTGTACATATCAGGAAGATCATTAATCACTTGAATTACATGTTTATTTTGTACATATCAGGAAGATAATTAATCTCTTGAATTACATGTTTATTTTGTACATATCAGGAAGATAATTAATCTCTTGAATTACATGTTTATTTTGTACATATCAGGAAGATCATTAATCTACTGAATTACATGTTTATTTTGTACATATCAGGAAGATCGTTAATATCTTGAATTACATGTTTATGTTGTACATATCATTACTAAAATACGTAATGAGTAGTTATTCTTTAACATTTCCCTAAATAATGCTAATTAATTATTTTCTTTATTGTATTACAGATTCTTCCACTAGTCACCCCGATCTTTTTCAACACGGCTGAGCCGTATGAGATCAGGATCGCGGCTTTTACTGTGATTCTCTATAGCAACCCCCCACTGCCAATCCTCAACCGAATTGTCACTCGCTTATGGCTAGAGAAAAATAAACAAGTGGCTAATGTTGTGTACACTTCTTTGAAAAGCTTGAGTAACACTACCATTCCCTGCTATCAGAACCTGTGAGTACTGGCCGACACTTTAAGTGCTTTTTATTCTTCCTAACGATTAAAATCATCCTTTATTAATTACTTTAATAACCATTTTAATTTCAGTAAACAATAGCTATCTTTTCTATTGGCTCTGCAGTAAACATGAGGAATTATAATGATAAAATGCGGGGTTCGATACCTTCGGTAGGCATAGCACATTTAGCCCGTTTATGAACAGAACGATAAATAATTGTTTTAAAACACTTAAAGTCTGATTAATATGTTTATACATATAGACGTGGGTTATGAAATCCGACTGAATGAATGTTCTCTGAAACTACTACGAATATAACACTCACCAAGATTTATATCTAAACAGTTAAGTTATAGAGGGCAATAATACTACAGAAGATTGCATTATAAAATTGTAAAACATATAATTTGATGTAAAATTTGTCTTAAGACTCAATAACTTGTTCTATATTGCTATTAATAATGACAAATCTGTCTTTAGGTATTTAGTTTCTCACTGTAATTTTTCTATTTAGAGCTCAGAAGATTCGTCAAGTTATGGGTGAGCTGAAACCAGTGGATTTTGGAACGAGTTATTCATTTCTTAAAATGGCTGAATTTAATGATAGTAAGTTGATTTTCTTCTGTAAAGGCAAATAAAATATGAACTTTATATATAAGTGTTTCTATTAGGCTTCCAAAATGTTTCATTCGATAATATGAACATTGATTTCAATAAGTTTTGTGTCTTCATTATTAAATATTTTACAGAATGCATTTTAAGCAACATTTTCGTTAATGACCTACCTGATCTAATTATGTTTCAGTTGTTGCTCACAGAAAACAAATGTTTCTAATTGAAGCTAGTACCTTTATATTTTTCCTCATAAAATCAAGTTACGTTTAATGAGCTTTAAGAAATGTGTACTTTATCTGAGATTTGACGTGTTTTTGTTCTTTCAGTTCCACGTGACTACAGCTTTCACGTGCTGTATGAATGGGTTCACAGTAACGTTTCCATAATCCCTCGTGCAGGATATCTTGGTGCTATGCAGAACATCGGGCCTTTCTGGGACCTTCCTGTAAATGTGAGTTGTCAATTAATACTTGAGAACTCTTACATGTTATCATATTAAGTCGTGATTTAATATTTGAATATAAGGACTTTGGTTTAATCATTCGTGAGTTTAATATTTGGATATAAGAACTTTGGTTTAATCATTCGTGAGTTTAATATTTGAGAAATTTACAATAGGCGTTTACAATTCTCAAATACATTATTCAAAAACTCAATTCAAATTTGATGTCATGATTCAGACCTTACACTATTTTTGGTTTGATGTCATGATCCAGACCTTACACTATTTTTGGTTTGATGTCATGATTCAAACCTTAGACTATTTCTGGTTTGATGTCATGATTCAGACCTTACACTATTTTTGGTTTGATGTCATGATTCAGATCCTTACACTATTTTTGGTATGATGTCATGATCCAGACCTTACACTATTTTTGGTTTGATGTCATGATTCAGACCTTACATTATTTTTGGTATAATGTCATGATCCAGACCTTACATTATTTTTGGTATGATGTCATGATCCAGACCTTACACTATTTTTGGTATAATGTCATGATCCAGACCTTACACTATTTTTGGTTTGATGTCATGATCCAGACCTTACACTATTTTTGGTTTGATGTCATGATTCAAACCTTAGA